TATCAGTTAGTACAGGGACTTAATTGTCATATATCCTAGCCTATGTGCTCTGTTCGAAAGAAAAAACCCTGGAGAGGAGTGACAGAGAATTTCAGGAGACAGAGAAAATCGACTTCTTTTCAATGGAAACTTATCAGAATTGATGAAGTGAGAAAGCAGTATACATCTATATGTACACTTCGGTATCAGTGCAGTATTGTCTTCAGTAACTCTTCATTTAGTCATGAAATATATTATTTGCCATTCCATGTATACCAAATACAGTGTTAAAAGAATCCTATTCAGCTAGGATAAATCACAGAACAAGTATAGTAAGAACATTACCAAGTAATTATACAGTATGTCTTTGAGATTTGTGTCTCCAAGTTTCTCAATTTTTCATTTTGAAAGAGGAGCTTAGAAAAACATAAAGAGAAGTTCCATATAAGTGCCTGGGAGAGCCGATCTTTACCAAATTCAGTAAAAATTTCAGAGATAAATAAAACTAAACCCGGACTAATTTATAATAACCTACAGAAGATACATTGTTTTCATTATGTTTTCTATTGGCTAACCTATCCAGTAGGAAGTTATATTTCATTGTCTTTTGCATATTACAGAATTTGTTTTCCTACTCACCTTACCTACATGTTGAACAATATCTTGGTCATAATCATGGCATATGCTGCATTGAACCTAAGGTGAAAATCCTTTTTTTTTTTTTCTCACCTGAGAGAAGTTTTACTTTTTTCCTGAATGAGGGAAGCACTTAAAGTATAAATTAAAATAAAGATCACTACTATTAAATTTGGTTAGGCTTATATTAAAAAAAATAGTAAAATGGCAGTCAAAACAACCTGACTCAAGTTTGTGACAGAAAGGCTTAATTTATTCAACCATTGTGGAAGACAGTGTGGTGATTCCTCAGGGATCTAGAAGTAGGAATTCCATTTGACCCAGCAATTCCATTACTGGGTATATACCCAAAGGATTATAAATTGTTAAAGACACATGCACACATATGTCGTTGCAGCACTGTTTACAATAGCAAAGACCTGGAACCAATGCAAATTCCCATCAATGATAGACTAGACAAGGAAAATGTGGCACATATACACCATGGAATACTATGCAGCCATAAAAAACGACGAGTTCATGTCCTTTGTAGGGATATGGATGAATCTAGAAACCATCATTCTCAGCAAACTGACACAAGAACAGAAAACCTAACACCACATGTTCTCACTCATAGGCGGGTGATGAACAATGAGAACCCTTGGGCACAGGGAAGGGAACAACACTCCCTGGGCTAGGTGGGGAGGTGGAGGGGAGGGGAGGGGAGGGACAGCGGGGCAGCAGGGAGGATGGGAAGGGATAATAACACCAGGAGAAATGCCTGAGGTAGGTGATGGGGGTGGTGGGGTGGGGATGGAGGCAGCAAAACACCATGGCATGCATGTACCTATGCAACAATCCTGCAGGATGCAGGATGTGCACATGTACCCCAGAGCTTAAAGTACAATAAAAATATAAATAAAATAAAATGATTTAAAAAAGAAAATACTAAATACATGAAAAAACAAAGAAATAAAGAAATATACACTTAAAAAAAGGCTTAATTTAGTACAGCCCATTTATGTATGCAAGAAGCTTTTCTTAAGGACCCTTAAAGATGTCAGCTCCAGTCATAAAGGAAACACACTTGAACCAAGCATGAGATGAATGAAGGGGTTCTGCTCTTGTCTTTTATTGATGGTTTCATTTATCTGATTCTTCTCTTTTCCTCCCACATTCTCAGATTAGGCTTGGCCTTCAACTGGATTTTGTATTCGTTAAATACAAACAATACACATATTAGACTGGATACGTATTTAGAAATTCAGATTTGTGTAATCTTCTATTTTTAAATTATGAGACTAACAATATATTTTATTGCACATGCCTCTGGTGTCCAAGTTTGGGATCTGCTTTAATTCTCAATAACATTCTAATAAAACTATTGCACAGAGCAGAGCTAGCCATAGGGACATTTACAATGCCACGTGCAGGTGGACTGTATACCCCATGCCTTATGATAATATATTAAATGATCGCAAATAGGATTTTTATAGAAAGGGTTCACAGCAGTTAAAAGAATTATATTTGAAGTCATATTTCTGAATTTGAGACTTTCATTTTGTTTAATAATCTATTAAATGCTCCCAAATTTACTAGGGACTTAGTGTGTGCTTTTATTCTGTTAGTAGGAGAAAATCTTGCTAGTCCATCTGAAGTGTATGCCACATCTTATGACTGCCAGATTCCCTCTCTCATTCTGCTATTGTCCCATGATATTTGCTGCTTTCTGCAGTCAATATAGACAGACTTGAGCCAACTTAAATGTTGTCTCAATATTTACCTAGTACAAAGAAAATTCCATTTGAGAAAACCACAGAGTATAGTCATTCCTGGAACAACCAGGAGATGGTTATTACCGTTGGAAACAATTGTTTTTAAAAATCGATCTCAATTCAGAGGCCTATGTATATTTAAAGTGCCCACACATCTGAAATTATTCCCAATTAATTTCATGAAATGTTATTTTTTAATTTAAAACAAACCAAAGATTAATTTTTATATAACCAAAGATGATTAACTTTCATATAATTTGGTGAATCAGAACAAATTCTTTAGCAAACCATGTGTCTCGCTTTCTTTTTATATGGACATGGTATAAATACTGAGAATCAAAGCAGCCATAATTAAAAAGGCCTGGTCTGAAAAGCAACCATAAAGTAGGTAAAGTTTGTATTCTGCTTTCTTCTATCTCCTCCTAGCTCACTTCCAAGTTATTTCCTCTGGCTGTCCTCTCTGGCAAGGTACAAATGCCCCTGCCTCTGCCTTGCCCCTCGCACTGTAATATTGGTTAAAGAACTTGGCAATGAGCCAGCATCATCAAATTCCTCTGGTTAGACTTCTCTGGCAGTAGAGTATTTAGGTGTTCCGCTCCAAATACTTTCTAACAATCAGAACCAAGATACCTGTGTGGAAGCCAGTGCCACAGGTAAGTCCCTGTTAGTGACAGTGGCCTTGCAATGATGCTTTGGGAAATTATCCTGCCTCCAATGAGTAGGACAGAGAGCAGGGAGTGCCCAGCCCATGCAGAGCCAAGCAAGGGTCTGTAGTCAGAGTCAGACGCCAGAGTTACTGTTCATCCCTGTGAGCTTGTATAGCAGTGTATGTGCGCAGCTACTTGAAATGATCACTTGTCTGTTTGCTGAGTTGACTGTGAAATTCCTGAGGGTAGGAATTATGTCTTGTACCCAGCACCACGGAGGACTGCAGTAAATGGGTAACGAATGAATGACTGAATGAGTCAATGTGTCAGGCAATCCGCTAATGCAGATGGCAGCAATGAAAGTGTGGATTTAAATGGCATCTTTGAAAATTGCAAGAAATGGATGGATATGGAAAACAGAGATAAAACTGAGAGAAAATCCAGAGAGATCAAGGCATCGAAGCCTCTGAGGCTGTGAGCTGAGCCAAAGGAAGAGTCTGAGAGGCAGTCATAGAAATGGGGAACTCAGTGAGAAACTTCATGAGGGAAGCCAACAGATAAACAGTTTGTCACAATCTCTTTCTCAAAGAATCATCCTCTAAAAGGTGCCTGCGTTTCTAGCCTCTCATGTCCCTTCCCCTTACCACACCTCACCCAAGTTCCCGGAGGTCCGATAAGCAGACAAAACTTGTAGAACTAGCAGATGTCCACGTTTTAAAGGACATTTCCCATCAACGCTTGAAGCTTGCCATTCTTTGTAGACTTGGGAGGAAAGGTGGATGGAAGGGAGATAGGAAATCTGAGCTGGTGCCTTGAAGAGACGCTTTGGTCTCCAGGAAGAGGGTACTTGTCAGCCGGGATTCACCCCTCAGGCCTTGGCATCTTTCAGAGGCACTAAGTCCACATCAGAGAGGACATGCTCTTATAGTCTGTGTTGTCAGTGCTGTGCCCTCAACCACTACTGCAGATACCCTCTTACTTTCTAAGTAAATAATCTCTCAGAGAAGAGATTCATCTCATTTCACACACAGCCACCCTTTGGAATATGAGGGCTGCTTGTACTCTCATTGGCCCCTGGAGCTTCAATCCTGTGTCATTCCCACATTCTTCAGAAGTGCCGAAAAGGGACCTACCACGGAAGCTAGGAGGGCAAGACCCTGGTATGTGCTCTTTAAAGTCTGTGAGTTACAGAGAGAATAGGAGAAATAATTCACGTTCTCTTTTCAGCCCCTCTTTCTCCAAAGTTTTGGAATGAGCTCTCTAAATTTCCCAAGAACTTCTCTGAAAGTTCTACAGCATGACCAAGTGTGGAAATACCTGCTGCATGCTTCCTGGAGATTTTCCCCACTGTCTGTTTTATAACCTGGTCAATTAGGCTGCAGTCTTGTCTTGATCCAGAAGTGGCGCCCCTTGGATCAGAAGGAATGACTGAAACACATTGATTTGTGGCCGGAATAGGAAGCTAAGCTCTAGGAACATCTGCCAGAGGCTTGTCCTTAGGAAATAGTCTCACAAATTTTTTTCCTGGGGAAGAGATGACATGCTGCAATTGACCTTCCGTTGAAGGCCAGAAAACAGAGGTGACAAAGCAAGCCTCTCAGTTTCTAATACTTCCTTCAGGCCATGCTTTTTAGGGGTGGTACCCTCTATATCCTGAGAGATCTTAGCTGTGCACGACATTAAAACTTGGTACTCAAAATGAGTGATACCAGCCTCTGGAACATAATTGTGACCAAAATGTGCCCTGGAGTCACTAGCCTCCTTCTACTTTTCCCTTTAAAATCTAAGTAAAAACATTAAGCCCTACTGCAGTGGCCTGCCCTGGTGAGTGTTTTCGCAGACTGCCTGGGGATATTTATATCCTCCTGTCTCCTCCAGCTCTAAATTCTGGCTTTAAGACCTTCCTCCATTACCCCCTTGTCAACACTCCCTGGGTTGTTACCATGTCCACAATACTAATGGTCTTAACTCTCTCTTTTTCCAGGGTCCCCTAAACAGAACAATGACTTTCAAAAGAAATAGTGGAGAGGAAACTATTAAAATTGAATTTCCATGTCGCAGTTTTGACAGTTTATCAGTGATTCATCACCATAAAGAATCTCTTACTCTCCATCCTTGCCCTGTGACTAGATTAACACCAGGAAGCAGCCATCTCTTTAGAAAAGCTTCTATCCTTCACTGATTTCTCCTGAGTGCCGGGTCCTCCCAAAACTCCTGTCTTTTTGTCTTGACTTAGGAACCCCCACTTCCCCAACCCCCTAAAACACACATTTCCTTCATAACAAGACCCTAGAGGGAGATCCTTTTGCTTTCCATTTTACTTCCCGGTTCCTGAGGGTGTTACTTTTCATAATAAAAAAATTCATCAAAGTGTTTTCCTAAAGAGTTGTTCTCCCTCTAAAGTTGAATTTCATCCTCCAACCCAGTATGGACACTGCGATAGCCATGTATATGCTCATAGCAATCTTTCCTTCCTGCTACATAATCACAGCTATTTTAATGATTATTTGATTTCAACAGACTGTAGTGTAGCTCTGATGCTGTCAGGGTGTTGGTGAAGGCATTAGAAACAGTGTTTGTGCTCAGAGCACTTGTGTGTGCTTGGACATCATGCGGATGTGAGCAAAGTCGTACTTCAGTACAGGTTCCCAACCAACACTGAGACACATAACCAGGAAAACACAACTGCAGCTGATGGTCAGAATACCCACGGGTTAGGCATAAGCATCCACACCACCAGCTTGGACAGCTGTCACCTGCCCTTGTTTATCCACGGGGTCAACAAGAAAAGGATTTCTGGCAGGCATCTCTATCAAAAACACACATGGACATAGGGAAAATGTTAAAGGAGAATTGTGATCGATTAGAATTAAAAGGAAAATCAGTCTTCCCTGTATTTCCCATACAGCTGCCCCATCTGTCCTGCCATCAGCACCACATGAGGTGTATATAGAAGATGGTATATTGTTACCTTTTTATTAGGCTGCTTCTAGAAGATTCAGCAAGTATCCACAGTCCCACCACCTAATCTGTAACACATGGCCAACATTTTGGTGTATTTCCTTCTAATTTTGTTTCCATGGACATCCTTTTCGTTCTGCAAAAAGTACATACGTTGTCTTGTTTTTTTGTTTTTTTTTTTTTACTTCTATAAAGTCATGTTATGGTAGCTTCAACAGTCAGTGAGAAAATTTTTGTTCTAATAGAAGAATGAGCAGCGGCTCAATAAAAACACTTCACTAAGCAGTTTATCCACACTTATAGCCAGAAAACAAAATTTAAAAGTTTTACCTCACCTGTGATCAAAGAAATGTAATTTAAAATAATGATTCCATCTTTCATCTACAGTTAAAAATATAAAAACTGTAATACCTGCTTCTGATGAGAAAATAGTGACATAATTGCTGTCATAGAAGCCTGGGTTGAGTGTCAATCTCCCAGAGTGTATTTTGTCAACACGAATCAGCCTGGAAGTGCCCATCCCCTTGATCTGGAAATTCTGCTTTTTAACAATCTGTGCTACAGGATTTATCTAAGAAAGATTCAAAGATGTCTGCATTATTCTTTATTAGATTGAAAACTTGGAAACAACCTGAATGTTACCTATTAAGAAACAAATATAATATACTTTATTCATCTGGACAAGGAACTATTTTGGAGATATTTAAAACGTTTTAAAGAAGAGTTACGCACCTTTGAAAAAAGTTCACGATATAACAATAGGCTTAAAGGGTAAGGAGAAGAACGTGATCTAGTTCACATTTTGTAAGTGTGTATGTTATGTCCACGAGGGAGAGAGCGAGAGAGCAAATCCGCTTTTCACGATGGTTATCCGTCGCTCACAAGACTACAGGGTGATTTTTACTTTCTTTATGCCTTTCCATAGTTCCCCAGTTATTTTCAGTGAGTATTTCATTTGTGTACAGGGGAAAATAAATTACTTAAAAAATGGAAAAAGAAGAAAAACACTCCTTTGCAGCAGCTTATGAAGCATTTTAACAACGAAAGATGGGGAAATCCCCAAGATATACAAGCCGTTTCTTCCCCTTCTGACTTTGGCTGATCCATCTGCTAACAAATGCTGACTGTTTTCTCGAGAGATCAAAGAAATAAAATAGGCTCTAGCAGGGGCCTTTATTGAAGTCTTCTCAGCTTCCATAGAGCTGTCGCTTCTCCCCCTCCCCTTCCTCCTCTGGCTCCTGCCCTCTTTTGGTGCTTTTCCTGAGGCTGGTGGCTACATTTGCTCAGTGCTTGAAGTCATTCTTTTGTCAATAATTTGTGAAATGATTTAGAGCTTGCTAACAGCAACCTACAGTTTGCTCTAATAAACTAATTGTGGTACAGAGTGGGAATTCAGGCTGCTGGGTGATGACCCGCATGCTGTTTTACTCTGCCATGGTCAGTGTATGGTTTTCGTTCTGTTAAAAGGACATTTCCGACTCTACCTCCATTTGTTTAGCATTTCTACTCTTAGTGAACTTTTAGTAGCTGAATGCCCAAAGGAGAAGACTGCAAAAGCAAATTATAGCACGTCAACTGGATGGAATAATACTTAGCTGTTAAAAATGACAATAACTGGGTTGCAGCGTCAAAAGTGTTACCAGAGAAATACAGGAAACAAATTAATATCTACATATAGTTACAACAATGTAAAACTATACGTTTGTATTGAAAAGAAATAGAGGAAGCAGGGGAAAATGAAAATTTAATGGCAGATGAGAAATTTTTTTAATTTGGCAATACATATTGAACTTTCACCGTATGCCAGACACTATGCAAGACCTGTGTATTTTTTAACATAGTTTAATAACATGTTAAGTTGTAAAGAAGTATAAAGTAGGGGTAATGGAATTCATTTGCAAAGATCTTACTATGGGCAGCTTGGCTCTATCCAAACGGAACACTGAATCTGTCCTTCTTTTCCACACTTAATTTATGTAAAACGTACAATGCTGGACGCCACTATGTCTGTTCAGTCTTCAGTGAGCAGATGGGCTTTTCCTCCTTGCCTTGCATGTCATTCTTTTATCCATGCACTCTATAGATACTGAGCCCTGCTGTCAGCCAGGTCCTGTTCAGCTGCGGCTGATACACAGGGACCAGAATGACAAGGCTCTGCCTTCATAGAGCTATCAGGCATTGGGGAAGACAGACACTAAACTATAGAAGTGAAAAGCAGTAACTCATTTTAAGGAGAATCAGGGAAGACTCCTCTGAGAAAGCAGGGAAGTGAAGGAGCAAACCATGAAAAGGCTGGGGAGGCAGCGGGAACAGCACGTGCAAAGGCACTGAGGCAGAGCTGAGTTTGGCATGGCTATGAGAGGAAATGCATTTAGAGAGGGAAGCAGGGGCTGGGAAGTGTGGGGTTGTATGGGCCACAACAAAGGGTCTATTCTAAGTGAGATGGAGAGCTTTAAGGGGTGGGACAGATTTACTCATTTGGCATGTGATCTGACTTCTTCAGAGAATGGACTGTCAAAGAAGCAGGTAGCAGAGGGCTGTTAGAGGCTTTCAGCCGTCCCGTGGCCTGGACTGGGAGGGTGGGCACGGAAATGAAGGGAGTCAGGCTCTGCTCTGAAGGCTGAATGCATAGGTCATGCTGTGTGGGGTGTTAGGAAGAGCCAGGAGACAAGGACACATCCTGGGTTTGGGACTGAGTGGCAGGTGAATAGTGATGTCATTTTCTGGAGGAAAAAGGAATAGGTTTTATTATTCCTGGGTGAACATTTGCCTAGCTTTGATTCCAGTGTGCTAAGTTAGTCTGAGAACTGCTGCTCACTCCCAGAACTCCATGGCTGTATCTGCAGGGCAGGAAAAGGATTTCTAGGGATATGGGAGAATCCGTCAGCCTAGGAGCTGGGAAACATGAGCCTGGTCCTCCTCTGCTGCAAAAGAGCAATTTTGTTTTTGTCGTTGTTGTTGTTTTTTTACTTTAAGTCACGTGATACATGTGCAGAACTGCATGTGTTTTGCATAGGTATACATGTGCCATGATGGTTTGCTGCACCCATCAACCCATTATCTAGGTTTTAAGCCTCATGTGCATTAGGTATTTGTCCTAACGCTCTCTCTCCCCTTGCCCCCCACCACCCAACAGGCCCCAGTGTGTGATGTTCCCCTCCCTGTGTCCATGTGTTCTCATTGTTCAACTCGCGCTGATGAGTGAGAACATGCAGTGTTCAGTTTTCTGTTCCTTTGTTAGTCTGCTGAGACTGATGGTTTCTAGCTTCATCCATGTCCCCGAAAAGGACATGAACTCATTCTTTTTTATGGCTGCATAGAATTCCATGGTGTATATGTGCCACATTTATTTTCTTTATCCAGTCTATCATTGATGGGCATTTGGGTTGGTTTCAAGTCTTTGCTCAAAATGCAGTTTTATGGAGAGAATATCACTTTGCATCTCAAAATGTAGTTTCTTGTATACTTGCCCAGCCTGCCTTTCAGAGCTTTGTCAGCCACTTAAAGCCAAATTCAGGCACATAACGGTGTCATCATTGTTATCTGGATTCCTGTGCACGAGCTCTGTGTTTACAGCCACAGCCCGGGTCCTCAGAGGGCCATCCCTGATGGGCCTACTGTGTTGATAATAAAGCCCTTGGACACATTCCTAGCCCCTCGCCTAGCTCCACCACACACCCGTCACCTGCCCAGCCCTGTGCACTAGTGTGCAGAACTACTACTGAGAAAGAGTCCCTTCAAGAGTGATACCCAAGGATGTCCTTATGAATCCCTGAGGATCCAGAAAATTAAACTTGCACATCATTCTCTGAGGATTCCTGCCAACCAAGGCGATTCGTTTGTTTTCATGATCACTGCCGTCCTATGTTAGCACACGCTACGCTTTGTTTCCAAGGGATATTCCCATCACCTTTACCCAAGAGTCAGCCAGCCATATAAATGAAAAACTGCAACAAGGAGCTAGCTTCATCCTTCAAGCACTTAGTGCTTCCAGTCAGGAAGCTTCTTTCCCTCTCTTAAATACCATCTCACAATTCCCAGTACCTGTCACCTAAAGGAGACTTCTTACACATTGAATGGCGAGGTGGAATGGATTTTGAAGGACAATTTAGGGAGCTAATCCCAGCCGTCAGATGTTTTTCTTGCTAACAGGAGCCCAATTCTATTTTATCCATGAAAGGACTCTATTAAGACAGGTTTTGTGACTCCCAGCACTCTATTTAAACTTCCGAAGTCATTCAGATTACCTATTCACCAGCCAGGGAAGAATGTGTGTGCCTTCCCCTTAGCAATCAAGGGGAAAAAAGTTAAGTGGAGCCAGAGAAAAATTTTCTTTATAATTTCGCTTCTTGAAGTAAAGAAACTCAGAATCCTTGACCCTAAACACCATAGAACCCATGGAGGCTCATGATGTCAGTGTGTGGGGTGGTCACTTAGAGGCAGGAGACTCTTCATGGCTAGCCCCAGAAGAGACAGGACCAGTCACCAGCAGAATGCGAGCAAAAGGGAAGGGTTCCTGTTTTTTGGGGAAAGAACCAATCAATAGTTTCTTCACATCTGCCATTTTAAGGAAAATTGTTTTCCCTTGTACGTATAGTTGGTTTTCCATAAAGGATTCATTATTGCTGAGCCAGGTACAGGAGGTGAGATCCCCCCTTGCTTTCCTCTGGGTCTCTTCACACTGAAGTGTTGAAAAGATTTGGGTCTGGAGATCCAGTGGCTGACTTCAAAACTGCCCTGTCCAACCTTCCAACCCATCCTAAATCATGGCAATAGAGGTGAGCAGTTAGGCCTGTTTGCCACACCCTGCAAGTCACTATTGTACCAGGGTGGCTTTAGTCCTCAAGTGACTGCCCTACTATGTGACTGCAGTGAATGAGGGGTATCCCCAGGATCTGGCCGACTCTGCTGCAGAGTAGGCAGAACTCGGGTTAGGGAGCAGTTTAAGCCAGAGTTACTCTGGGCTGGGGAAGGCATTTTAAATTCTACCTGGAGTCAATGCAATGTACGAGGCTTTGGCATTAGGCCTAGGGGTCTGGACACTGGGGTAAGGGGAATCTGCTATACCCTCTATTGGACCAGCTGCCATAGGCCTCACCCGGGACCAGAGCTGAGGTCACACTCAAAGGCTTCGTAGAAGAGTCCCATGTTGGGCCTCTTCCTGTTCAAGTCTAGTTTCTTGACATTATTTCCTCCAGTCTTGAGGTGAGAAAACTCTCCTTGTATTAGCAAGAAGAATGAAGACTGTAATTTTTAAATGGCATTATTTAGATTGAATAACTTTAGAATAGTCTTTCCACGAGACCACTCGGGAAGATATTCAGAT